GACAAATCAGAAGGAACATTTACTAAAGGGGGTATACTGTGAGTTAGAGCCATCATATCCTAGGGTGACATGCCTAGAGGATTTGTCCACTTGAGATCTGGTATGCCATCCTTGTTTTAAGAGACTGGAAACTGGAAAAAATTAAAAAGTGATCACCTGGGGCACCTAGGTGGCTCAGTCGGTTAAGTGTCTGCCTTCAGCTCAGGTCATGATCTCAAGGTCCTGGAATCGAGCCCCCAGTCAGGCTCCCTGATCAGTGGGGAGTCTGCTTCTCCCTCTGCCTCTCCCCTGGCTCATGCTCTCTCTCTTTTTCTCAAATAAATAAAATCTTAAAAAAAAGTGATCACCCAAAGAAAATGAAGGCTTTGATTTTTACCTGGATACTTAGCACATGTTCCCAAGCATGTTTTGAAGAGATGGATATAAGCTGGTCAATGAATTTAGTAAATCCTTGGTAGGAACACCTAATTAGAAGGCTTCTGTTAAATCGCAGTATATCACCATCAGTCCTGGGCATGGAGGAGGCCAGCATTGCATCCTTGCTACCCAACACATGGCACAGTGTGAGAACGCAGAGCATGGGCACCCTGCAATTATCCATACATGGAGTTCCGCTTACTGAACTGCAGGAAAATTGAGGACAGCCCTCTGCTCTTTACTCCCATAAGCTGAATGGAATCCTCCCTCCAAGGGCCTTGGACAGACCTTAGATAGTGACCAGCCATTATTCATCTACTTGTCTATATCCCCCACTGGGCAGGGAATTCGTAAGGGAGGGACCATACCATTAGTCCTTTCCATGCTTCCAGCTCCAGCACCCAGCCCAGGGGCTACTAAAGGAGTGAATAAATGTAGGAACAAATACATCTCTGACAGGTTTAAAATCAAAAAGTGTATGTGCATGCGTGGGCACATATATGTGGGGGCACATCCATCAGAGCCCCAAGCAATTCTCAGGGTTACTATCTGAGAATCACCAGGACTACTTGTTAATAATGTGAATTCCTTGGGGGCGCCTGGGTGGCTCAGTCGTTAAGCGTCTGCCTTCGGCTCAGGTCAGGATCCCAGGGTCCTGGGATCGAGCCCCACATCTGGCTCCCTGCTCAGCGGGAAACCTGCTTCTCCCTCTCCCAGTCCCCCTGCTTGTGTTCCGTCTCTCGCTGTGTCTCTCTCTGTCAAATAAATAAATAAAATCTTAAAAAAAAAAAATAATAATGTGAATTCCTTGGTCCTACCACAAAGCCATTGGATCAGAAGTTCTGGGTGGGGCTGGGAAATCAGAATTTTTAAGGAAGTTCCCTGGGAGCTTCTCATACGTCTAGAAGGTTAGGAATGTTGCCCTAGAGGAAACCTGCTGAGCTGGGATTCTCAGAATGCTCTGGGCTTTTGATACCTTAAATAGCCAACTCCAGCCTGAGTTTCTGTTCACACATTTGGCAGAAGAGAAGTTTCCACATGGGGAAGCATTCTGAGATTTGCAGACAATAGAGAGGTAAGAGATAATAATAACAGGACCAAAACTCAGAACAGCAGACTCAGGGAATCAGAGGCAGGCGGGACCCCCCCAGGCCATCAGTGTGCAGGTGGGGACACAGAAGCCACATCCCAGTGTTCACTGAGAAGGGTAGCTGGGAGGAGAGCTCCTAAGAAGGTAAAACAGAGCTGGGCCCCAAGCTAACGCCAGAGTTCCCATTTAGGACGCATGGAAGAAATGGAAGAAATCTCTACTTTGGCATGCCAACCAGGAACCACAGGCCCGGCTCCCAGACCAGAATGTGCACACTGAATCAATTGAAATTGAGTCACGGATATAATTAATTTAATGTGTTTAAACGATTTTCCGTATAGTAAACATGCTGAATGAGGGTGACCCAGAATAAAGTGCCTGCCTGAGAGTGGAAAAATGGACACCACGTGTGCCGTATAATGAAAACCTTTCAGCAAATAGAAAATGCTGCAATTTATTTCCGCCTCCTGTTCCTTTCCTTTCCAACTCTTTATTTATGGCTGAACTTGGCCTTCTGTGGTCTCCTTGGACCACAGAGACACTTTATTTTGTCAGAAGACATCCTTTCTTCTCTGATCAGAAGACAATTTTAATGAAACCTGTCTGCGGCCCCGTGACAAGCACATATTAATATGTGACAAAGGGGATCAGGACGAAGGGGAAAAAATAGTGCAGAACTGTGTCCCTATTGTAATCCCTTTCTCCAGTAAAGGGGACCGTGCAAGATGAGAAGGGAAAGGAGGTGGCACTGGGGGTGGTGGGGACAGGACCCAACTGAGCCACCATCCTGGCTCTGCCAAACCGTCCCTCCGTGGGACTTTCCAAGCTCCCTCTCTGGACCTCAGATACTCATCTACAACACGAGGGGGCTGAACTTGAGGATTTTAAAGAGCGCTTTCAATCCTGACATTCGCTAAGTTAGGAATTACAAACCAGAGCGGGCGTAAATGTGTGTCAAGGAATTTCTCATTAAAAAGAAACTCATCTTAAAGCCATGTAGAGTGTTGAGGCGGTCTTATCTAATTGCTCATCAAGTGGGGATTATGTGTTATTTGGCTTAGATGAAAGGGAGCACTTGGAAGTGGTTATAAATGATCTCCCACTAAGAAACATCAGGCATCTGGGCAAAATGCCGAGTGCTAGGATGAGGAGGGGCGCCGAACGCTTCCTAGATTCTGTAGCTCTCTATCCAGCTGTTCCAGCTGGAGATACTATGGATTCCTTCTATTAAATAAGAACCAAAGTGTGGCAGAAGTGTACCCACATTTTCAGACAGCTCTGCCACAGTGCTCCTGGTGGAACAGGCGAGTCCCACCCTCTCCGAGGCTCAGTCGTCTCAGAGGCATGTGACTCAGCCCCTCTGGTACAAAATGGGGACAATAATAGTCCCCACTGTATGAGGTCGTTTGTACCAGAAAAGGGAGGACCTCTGGGGTACCTGTGGGGCCATTCTGGGGGCGGGGGGCTGGGAGGGGGTCCTCAGGGGCTGCAGGAAGGGAGGTCGAACAAGCAGGGCCCTGGGCTCCTCCTTCTTTCAAACTGAGAGGCTTCTCTCTAATCGGTATTATATACCAGCACCACGTGAGATTTTATAAGAGGATCTGAGGATAAAAAGTTTTTTTTGAAACCAAATTTTTGAAAGGCACCCAAGTTTACCGTCTGAATCCAGGCTGCGCTATAAACACGGGGATTGCCCGTAACTATTCAGAGCCTTGACGTCTGAACCGTGGGAACAGAGGCCAAGAGCTGTTGGGTCCAGAGTGGCTCTAGTCTGGGGTTTTGGAGATCGCCTCGTTTTCAGCAAGCCTCCGCAGCTTCCCCCGCCCCCCAGCAGCGGTGCTCGAACTCCAGTGCGCATTAGCACCACCTGGAGGGTCGGTTGCAGGGGGGGCCCCCACCCGAGGCTCTGCTTCACTGCATCCGGGCTCGGGCTGGAGAATGTGCATTTCTAACCAGCGCACAGGGTGCTGCGGGTTGAAGCGCACTTTGAGCATCAGCGGCCTGTGAGCTGAAGGCCAGCCTCCTCAGCTTGTTCCTTCAGAAGCGCGCCCCAACTCACCTTCCCAGCCTCACCCTCCTCCTTTCCAATTACCCCAACAAAGTAATTGTCCCTGCACACACTCACGCATATCTCCCTCGCTCGCCACGCTCCATCTGGCCAGACTGCCGGCCCCCTCTCTGCAAGCCTAAGGCAGAGCACTAGTGTTACCTCCCCCAGAAAGCTCCCTGACTTTCTCATCCGTGGTCCCAGAAGCCCCTCTGGGCTCATACGCTTTCTCCCATGGTGCCGAGCCCTTTTAAGTTTTATTATCATCTGTGTCCAGCTCTCGCCCCTGCACTTGGACCGCGGGCTCCCATCTTATTCACTCGGCATCCACGTCATTGTCTACACCCTCACTACCCGCACCGCCCTGGCTACCAGACCAACAACCAGCAAGCCCGAGCGCACACACAAAGGAGTATGAACGTTTAAGAAATACACCAATCAACTCATCTTGTCTATTCTTCTTACTACCCCAAGACAGACTGATTCTCTAAATGGCTCTTTAAGTTAGAACACAAGACAGGAGTTTAGCCATTTTAACCTATTCTTTAGGCAAATTTCCCTTATTTTCTGAGAGCAGAATCAGTAACAAATACATCATTATGAGACATGACTAACTGCCACTTACGTCCACTACCAGCAGGTAGTATAATGCAGCAGTTAAGAGCTATACCCAGGTTCAAATCCCAGTTCTACTTCTGATTGGCTGTAGAACTTAAATGCTCTGCACCCCAGGCTCCTCACCTCTAATGGTAATAATAACAGCATCTACTTCCTATGGATGGCATATGGGTGCAATGAGATCATTATTAACACTAACAACCCTAGCATGGGCCTAGCATCGGGCATACATTATTGCATCTAACCTATCTGAAGTGCTCAGTGAAGTATGTAGCCCATAATAAACATTAAAGAAATGTTAGCAATTATTATCATTGCGAGACGTATATTATTATCCTCATCTCCCGGAGGAGAAACTTGAGGCTCAGAGCAAGTAGCCTGCTCAACAAATATTAGCAGTTCTTACTTTATAATGGTCAATCTTTATACCTACCTCATGAGGTAGGTACTATTTCCATTTTGGGAATGAAAACTCTATGGTTCGGAGACGGTACTTCGAAAGACCCAGGATTTGAATCCGACTTTGGGTCCAGAGCTCTTGCTACCCCATCCCCCACCTGGTGAATTTCAACTGCTCTGTGTACAGTCAACTCACTACGCCCTTTGTAATCCGTGAGCTATAGAGAGGCATCTTCCCAGCCTGTCAGAGAGCATCACTGAACCTGTCCCTCATTTCGGCAGCCGGGCAATCCTACAACCAACCCATAGGAAGTATTTCAGTGATCGGAGAAAAGGGACCTCGTCTCAGAGGCATGTTACTCAGCCCCTGTTGCCTTGTACATCTCCAAGGGGCACGAAGGAAAGCACAGTCTGGGGTGTGGGACTCACCGTGACCCCGAAGAAGTTGGTCTCATTCATGGCATTGAGGATGATCCTGCCCAGCGTGTGGTCCGTGTAGTTGAAATCCTGGATCCGCTGGTGCCGGCTGCTGGCGTGCAGCGTCTCCATGGCCCTCTGCAGCGTCTTGGCAATAACCCAGATGCCATCGTAGGCGTACCCGTGGAACTTGCTGGGCCCCACGCCTGACCGCTTGTTGTTGTACTCTCTCTCATACTGCTGTGGCGTCTGTAAAACGGGGCGGGTGGGGGGACACCAAGTTATAGCCAGCAGGGACATCAGGCACGCGGTGCCAAGAACGGACGCTCTCCAGTGCTTACTGCGGGCCAGGCCCAGTGCCAGGCTCTTTGAGGCCATTGTCTCATTTAATCCGCACAACGACCTCATACAGTGGGGACTATTATTGTCCCCATTTTACGGATGGGAAAACTGATTCAGGGAAGTTGACTTGCCCAGGATGACACGGCCAGTGAGTTGCAAGGCTGAGACTTGCACCCTGGCTGTCTCGCAAGGCTAGGGTGAAGGGATAATGCACCCGCAGCGGGCCTCCTTGTGTTATTTGCAGGGCCTGGAGCTATAGTACCAGTGGAGGACCACGTTCCCTATGTTCCTAAATATTTAAGTTACGGACCAGCAAATAAACTGCTCGATAAAATATTTTCTATCTCCCCATCATAATGAATATATCTTCCTAATGATCTGGAAGGGCAAGTTTGAATTCAGCATTCCGGGGCTCCTCCGAGCTTCAGGCGGGACACAGAGGCACAGGGGGAGCCGGCCTTGCCGTGGGGCCCACCCCTGCAGCCCAGCCAATCTCGGTGCACACCTCCTCCCCTTCCAACATCAGAGACCTTTAACTACCCCAGAAGTGCAGCTCAGCCTCAGGAGGGCCGGCCCTGGCAAGAGGCTCCCTGGCTCTGGAAGTGGTTCCAGCTGTTTGGGCAGGGCATTCAGGGTGTGATGTAGGAGGGAGGGGTTGGAGGCTCAGGGGTGGGGGGTATGTCCCAATGGCTTGTGGATTCTGAGCCCCTGGGGCCCGAGCGAGGCCTGCCTAGAGCATGGGGCCCAGGGCCTGTCCCAAGTGCCCAGATGTAAGGGCTGTCCTGACCCTATAATGTGCCCCTCCTCTTTCCTCTTCTGTAATACAGCAAGGTCTGTGAATAATTCAGCATTTTGTAAAAAAGCATTTTTTTCCTCCCATTGAACTGAATTTCAGAAAAGAATTTCATTGGTGATACTAACATTCTGATTGTAGCCATAAAGTCATGAAAACCTTTTTACTCCAGTTGCTGAGGCTTACACATCCAAAGGGATGCCACCCCAGGGAAACCCATCACCCTCAACCTTTCCATGGGCCTCTCAAGTCACTTCTGAACTCCTCTGCCAGAAATGTCATCAGAGCCCATGGCTTAGTCTTCAGAAAAAATCTCTTTGGGAACAAATCACATGTAGAAACCGGGTCTAGTGCCCAAGAAGGGTGGTGAGGCTGAGCCCTCGAGGGCTGGGTCTCGTGGCTGGAGCCGGGGTGAGTCTCTTGCCCTTGGTTCACTCACACGTGCCTGGGGACAGCCAAGTGCCTCCAATTGTGGACCCTGTAGGTGAGGAATTCTGCCTGGCCAACCGGGAATGCTGGTCTCCCAGCAAGAGCGCTCCCTCCTTCTTTGCTTCAGCTCCCACTGGATGACTCAGGTCTTATCCCTGTTGACAGTTTTCCTTGGAAATGTGTCATGTCCAGCCATCACATTTGTTCATCACTCAAAACACACAGCAGAAGCTCCTAAATCCAAGGGTTCCTCAAGGAGGCAGCACTGTCTCTGTCTCTAGCCTCACTCAGGGCCTTTAGCGGCTCCTCACTGTCCCTCATACCCTCCACCCTCCCGCTCTCAGCTCTCCACCCTCCTCCCTCCTCCCCGCGGAGCATGCGGGGTCCCTTATGAGGCGCACTCTCTCCCTTAGACCTCTTGGGTCCTTTGATCACATCAAGTTTGTTCGTACCTCAGGGCTTTTGCACCAGCTGTTTCCTCTGCCAGAAAGCTTCCCCAGCTCGTTGCATGATATTCTCCGCATTCAAATGTCAACACTTGTCACTTCTCAGGGGTGGCTTCCCTGACCCACCCTTTCTAAAAACCCCTCACCCCAGGCATTCTCTATCCACTGGTTTGATCTTCTTAACTGCACTTTTCACTGCCTGCAACTTTCCTACTTATGCATCTGTTTGCCCATTGTCTGTTGTTCCAGCCCTCCCTCCTCCTCCCCTCCCTCCCACAACTAGAATTAAGCTCCATGGGGTCAAGATGTTTTCTGTCTTGATCGCTGAGGTATCACCAGAACATGGCGATACCGACAGAGATCCTTCCCAAGCCTCAATTTCTCCATCTGAAAAATGAGGAGGTGGGATCAGGTGATCTGGAAGTTTCCTCTTGGCAACATAGGTAGGAGCCTGGCACAGTGGTAAGGACAGAGGATTTGGAAGCAGGCAAGCCTGCCCTCCAGCTTTGGCTCTGTGGTTTGCTAAGTGTGATGTGGGGCAAGGTCTTACCTCCTCCAGGTCTCTGTGTCCTCCCTTGCTGGGTGGCCATGCGGATTCAGTGACATGACGCGTGCAAAGTGCCCAGCCTAGTGTCCAGGACATGCTGCTGCACCACAAATGTCACCCACTGTTACTAACAGTAGAGGTGGCTGACTGGACCCGGCCACCCAGGATGCCCTGAGGAGCCCAGGTTGCGTTGACATCTGTGCTGAGGGGGGCCAACAGTTCTCGGGTGCATGCACGCCCTACCTTACTTCCTTAACCAATCTCCAATTATTGGACATTTAGGCTGTTTTGAATTTGTCCCAATTATAGGACTGCAAAAAGCATCCTTGTATCTAAATTTTCTGAACACATACTGGTACTTATTTTTTTCAGAATAAATTCCCAGAAGTATAATTGCTGAGGCAAAGAGTATAACAAACTTAAACACGATTCATCCATATCTGGGCCAAGATAGTCTCCCCAAATATGAGAAATTAAAATCCCCCTGGGTATGAAAGTACCCGTTTCCCTGCATCCTTGACAATAATAGCTATTACAATGTTAAAAATCTTCAGTTTGTTAGGTTAAGAAAAAAAAAGTGCATCCCCTTTTAATTTTAATTTGCATCTCTCTAATGAGTAGAGTGAGCTCCTTTCGAGTACGGATAGGCAATTTTTATTTCTTAGGTGCTTTTCTTTTTTCTACCATAAATGTTATGGTGATAGTCACACCTGTCAATGTTTTGTTTAAGTGCATTCTTATTATTTTTCCATCTTTTACTATTTGACTATATTTTCTTTGATTTTTAAAGATGATTTGGGTCTATTTCTGGTTATTAATTTAGCTATTGGCTATGTTAAAAGTATTACAAATTACTTGAATTTGTTTTCTCTAATTGCTTTAAGTATAAAAGTTCTGAGGCCCCCTTGACTTCTTCTCTCCTGGATTTTGCTCCTGTGAGCTTTCTCTGATTAATACAAAAGCATCGAGGGCTGCTGGTGTCTGTATTGGAGTCCTGTTTTTTCAACCTAATAATTATATTCAGATGATGTTTCCAGACCTCTTTCCTACCCAGAACATGCCACTGGGTCATCCTTCAAGGTTCCTATGACCTTTTAAAGTCAGGGGCCCAGACCTGAGGCAAACGTTCTCAGTGTGGTCTCACCAAGGGATAAATGAGTATAATCTTTTAACTTCCTTAATGTCGTTTACTGGGGTCATTTTTTGTGGAGACAGTAGGGGGAACAAAATAATATCATTTATTCAGTTTGACCTTGGAGCGAACACAAGCCCCTATGTATACTTTTTACATGTGTACTTATAAATCCACATCTTTCTCTTAACACTGTTCTTCACCCAGGGGGTGGGGGGCAGGAGGTAGGAGGAGAACAATGGAAATATGGCTGTTGACCTCATTTCTGTGGGAAGAGTCCTTGGAATGGGACAGGTGTAGCTAAGCCCCGCAAGGTGACCTCATTCTCACTGTCTTAGCAAAGCACTGAGTTGAAGTCATTGCCACCACATTATATCCCAGGCCATTCATCACTTCCCAGGTGAAGCCAGCACCAATCTCCCTTGGGCAAAACAATGACAGCAGGAAGAAACACTCTCACAATTGTCTGAGAAAAAGTAGTAGTTGTTCTTCAAGCAGGCCTCTGATTATTCAGGGCAGAAGAATTTCTTCCATTGTAGAGCTGACACTGAAGGCTGATTAATTACTCCTTCTCTGAGGTCAGGTTTATCATGAGATGCTAAAAGTTTCTGAGCAAATAACTTTATATAGATAGTCCCAATTACTGACAGGTTGTGCTCCAGCATATTTTTGAAAGGCAGTTGTTGGAACTTGGAACATATTTTTCCACAGAAACTATGTTATAAATAGTGGTTAGGCTCCCAGGCTAGCCCACACAAGCTTGCTAACCCACAATGTGACTAAACCTTATGGGTCTGTCATTCCAACAGAACCAAGCAGAGTCCTGCTTTCAGGGAGAGAGGAGCCTCATGGACAGAAGACAGCAGAAGGTGAAGAACCCATCCCCTTCCACATCTCCAGCTGCCATCCCCAGAGTGGCAAAACTGGCAGAGTTTCTCTCTAGCATCCCCTGTGGGATTTTGGAATCCCAGAGTCTCATTTGGGAGGTACACTAGGGGGAGTTATTTAGTCTCCTTGTTCCTGTACCCCAGTCTGCAGATCGCCTGGGGACCTTGTTAAATGCAGACGCCAGAGCCCTACATTTTGATTCAGTATGTCTATGGGATAATTTCAGAATCTGTATTTCTATCAACCTTCTAAGATCTCAAGAATATACAATCGGTTACCACTGATTAAGTCCCTCCTACAATCCGATTATTGGATCTTCTCAATACTAACTTCTAGATGTTTGCTGAACTCCATCTTAGACTCCTCCAGGGCTGAGAAGCTCACCCTCTCTTCAGAAAGAGCTTCCACTTAAGGAGTGCTTGCCATCTAGGAGATTTGTGTTCTGGATGCAGCATCTGCAGCACCTCCCTATGACCTGTATTCTGCATGCAGTGTCTCCTTGTGGAGCTGCGGTAAACATGGCTGTTCCCTCTTATGCATAACAGCCCCTCAGAGCTGAAGGCAGTGGCAGGCTACCCTGTCCCCAGGGTGCTGTTTTCTACCTTTGAAGCAAAATCGTCTCAGTTCACACTTCCACTCTGACGGTGATGAAATGGCTTATATCAGACCAAA